GCTTCTACTTGAAGTTGGGATTTACTTTACACTTATTTGATGCAAAATCCAGTTTGATGCAAAAAAGTGCAACAAGTGAACATAGAACCAGCTGCCTAGAAAGATGGTGGGCTCTCCCACACTAGAGGCATTCAAAAAGAAACTGGACAGCCATCTGAGTATAACATGGTGTCCTGCAACAGCAGGGGGTTGGACTCAATGGCCTTCATGGCCCCTTCCAACTCTACTATTCTATGATTCTATGGATTTGCCATTTCAGTGCCAGTTTCTCTCAGTTTGGAGAGATCCTTTTGGAACTCCTTCCACTTTTTAACTATCCTAAATAGTTTGGTGTTATCAGCAAACTTGGCCGCTTCATTACTAGCTCCCTAAGTCTAGATTATTTCTGTATAAGTTGCAAAGCCCTGGTCCCAAGACATATTCCTTTGTTTACATCTTTCCATTATAAAAGTTAACAATTTCTTTCTACTCTCTGCTTTCGGTTGTTTTACCAGTTACTGATCCATAAGAACAGCTCTTCTCTTATTCCATTACTATAAGGAGGAGTCTTTGGTTAGAAGCATTTTATGTTGCATGTGAACTGCATATTCTTAAGAATGTGATGATAATTTAAAAGGGCATTACATTCAAAATCCAAATAATGTTTGGTTTATAAAACAAAACATAGCTGATTAGAACTTTGCTGGAGGACAGAGATTGAGCAAAACTGGATTTTTCAACCATTCCTAGAAATATGGAGTCCTCTTGTGGTCATTCTGGGAAAGTACAACCTCAAGGTTTTTTTATATTTACGCTAATAATTCCAGCTAAAGCTAAGAGTATTGAGGTGTCTTAAGACCATCACATTTGTTATGATGTATACTTTCCAGGGCCATCTTAACACATGGGCCTGATGGGCACTTGCCCGTGGTCCCCATACTAATCTTGTGTATGTTAACCCTTGGGAAATTGGAAAACTTCCAAAATTAACAGTAGTTGTACTTGTCATAGGGGCCCCAGTACACTGCTTTACCCAGGGCCCATAATGCTGTTAAGACGGCTCTGATACTTTCAGGAGCATACATCCACAGAAGCTTATGCTGAAATAAACTTAGTAGTATTTAAAGTCCTACCCAACCCTTTTTTGATTGTTTTGGTAACAGAACCTCTCTTCTAAAATTTATTTTTTCAGAAATACCTTGAAGGAAGTTTGCAAATCAGGAACTGAGGGATGAAATTTGAATCAAATTATTTACAGATTTTGCATCATTAAACTTCATTTTTAAATGTTGTGCTTATTCAGAATATATGTATTTTTCAAATATATTTCTATACTTTCTAATTTCTGAAGTTCTCTGGGTGGTATATGACATGTCTAGACATGCAGTCCAGATGATAATGAACAATCTGTAATTATTTTGTTTATATCTATCTATATCTATCTTTAAAATATAGTTTTCTACTTACCTGAGAATTTTTTCCCATTATAACCTGGCTATAGCAGTAATAAACTTCAGACATGCATGCAAGTATTCATGGATATTAGGTTCTCAAGACGTATTTATTTCTTTTTATTATTTACACAATAATGTTAGCAGCACATAGTTGTCTTGAAGTCTTTTAAATGTGCACTGATGTATTAAATACTAAAATATGTTTGCTGAAAATTATTTTCACTGAAAAGGCTAAAGTAGGTCAATGCCAATGGGGCAGAATTCTGAGCTATTAACATCAATAGAAGTGGTTTCTTTAGATAACATTTAAGGAGGATAGAACACAAATCTTGCAAGAGAGAGTTCTACAGAGCTGGAAGGATGTCTACTGCTTGTATGCAGTCTTTCTTTTTCTGAAAATCAGAGGATTTGTTTGTGTTCCTCACCCCTTTCTAAATCTCCTGAGATTCAAATTTGAAGGACCATATTAATAACAGGTCTAGAAATCTGATTCTACGGGAGACTGAGGGCGTCTGCAACCCTGTAACTTCATCTGTCAACAGTGAGCATGCTCCGTTCATGGAGCAGACTCAGTAAGAGCCAAGAAAATCTCGCAGGCAGATTCTCAGTGTGGTGAGCTGAACAGGGAGAAAAGGTGAAATGGCAGAAGGGAAAGAGGACCAGATTGCAGGGCAATTACCTCCAGCTGAACTGGATTCCAGGAAAGAAGACAAATTGATCCTATATCACTGGACACAATCTTTCAGTTCCCAAAAGGTGAGTGCCTAGATTGATTGTTTCCAGGAATGCCAGGTTTCAGAACCTGGACAGCTCCTTTTACCCGTTGTGCCCACCTTAAGGGCGGCTGTCATGCTTGGATGGTCTGTACATTAATGTGGGAGCATGTCCGAGGAGAGGAGAGGAGAGGAGAGGAGAGGAGGAAAAAGAATGATGCTGGGACATGAGGCTTGCTAAACAGGCCTCAGCGCCTTTATTGTTTTCACTGAATGTTGTTCACTGCGAACCTATCAGTGGCAGCCAAGAATCAGTGCGCTGGACAGATAAGGCACTCCTAATCCTAAAACTAAGGAGGTCTGGTCTGGCCAGTGCTTGGAGAAGAGAGCACCTGGGAACCTCATGTGGCCATCTTGCGTTCCACAATGGAAGGGCAGTGGGACAGAAATGTAAGAAAAAAGAAAAGAAAAAGAAGAAACATTTTCTGTCTACTTTGTCATACATCACAAGTTTTCTATCAAGAATTGCCCTTCTCTCCCAAAAGGGCTGCTTGCAGAAATACAAACTATTCAGAAAGTAAAGAGCAATGGCTAGTTACCATTTATTTATTTATTTATTTATTTATTTAATATGCCGTCCCCTTGCTACATAGCCTTGGGATGGCTCACAGAAATAAATAAATAAAACAATTACAATTTAAACCTGGAAACACACTGGCTGCACAATTAAAATATATAAATATTAAACATTATTAAAATACTGTTTGAATAAAAAGGTCTTGGCCTGGTGCTGAAAAACAAATAACGACAGTGCCAGGCAGACCTCTCTGGGGACCGCATTCCACAGATGGGGCGCCACCGCAGAGAAAGCCCTCCTCCGGGTACTTTGCTTCCTGACATCTCTCATGGAAGGCTCCTGGAGGAGAGCCTTTGCTGCCGATCTCAAGAGGCGGGAGGGCAAAATGATTTTAAAAGGTAACTAGTGCTTGTTATTACCTTTTAAAATCAGTAAAACATATTACAGTGGTACCTTGGCTCATGAACCTAATCTGTTCCACAACTCTGGTTGTGACCCAAATTGATTGTGACCCAAGTCAAATTTCCCCACAAGATTCAATGTAAATAAGGTTAATCTGTTCTGGCCCCTCTGAATGTGGTTGTGAGACAATTTTTGGTTGTGAGCCAAGCCAAATTTCCCCCATAAGGTTCAATGTAACTAAGGTTAATCTGTTCTGTAATTATTATTTTTTAATCTGAAAAACTGGAAACAAAGTGACAAAGAACAACAAAGTGACAAAGAACAACAAAGTAACAAAGTACTGTACAATACAGTGGAGAACACTAACCTAGGGGTGGGGGGAGGTTATTGTTTTGAGGAAGAGTCCCCCTCCATAAGGACATTGGGGAGATCTCTTTCAGGGGTTTCCTCTCTTCTTTGTCTCTTAGCTGCAGGATTAATTTTGGTGAAAAATGGGTCTATAGTCACTTGTTTTTTCCTGCGTTGCATAACGCTCTGGAAATGAGAGACCACGCTATCATTCATCAGGTTCAACACTCTGTTTGTTACAGTTATGTTGGGGTGGTGCTTCTCAAAGAAATCCTGGCACGGGTGTGCTCCTGCAGGAAAGATGGGCGCAATCTCAGCCACCTCCCTCCCCCCCGCAACCAGCATGATCGCGACCATCTCACAACCCTCCAACCAGCATGATTGGGGCCATCTCCCCCCAACTCCAAGTGGGGAGATGGCCACAATTGCAGTTGTGTTCATGCAAGGAAGATGTATGTGATCATGGGCACACTCCTGCAGGAAAGATGGGTGAAGCACAGCACAGCCGCGATCATGCACATCTTCCCTGTATGAATGCAACTGTGATCGTGGCCATCTCCCCACTGGGGTGGTGGGGGGGAGATGGCCGTGATCGTGCTGGTTGGGGGACGGGATGGCTGAGATTGCTCCCGTCCCTGCATGAATGCGATTGCAATCATGGCCATCTCCCCACTGGCGGGGGTGAGGTGGGGAGATGGCCGCAATCTTGGTCGCCACCCAATGCAAAGTTCGCAACCCAAGTCAAAATTTTCATGAAATTTTTGTTCACGACCCATTTTGTTCATGAACCAAGGCAAGGTACCACTGTACTTTGTAAAAATATTAAAAACTGACAGGAAAGCAGTGATCTGAAAACACAGGATCCAGATCACATTCAGATGAAGAACAGAATGTCTGTTGAAGTAAGTTTTGGCTGTCCTGCACACAATGATATAGGATGAATTCTTATGTATATTTAGACAGAAAAAGGTCTACAACTGTCAGCATTCTGGCTGGTTCATGTATAGGATTCTCCTATATAAACTTGTATAGGATTATCTCCTAACCAGATGGATTTTATCTGAAGGAATATTCCATTGTCTAGACACAATTATAGAAAGGGCCTGTCTCTCATACTCACGGAGGTATAGAATGCTAGGGATTAAAAACAACAACAACAATTTCTCCATGGCTTGGTTGCACCCAGGAGAATCAAAATACTCTAAATAAGTTTAAAGGAAGGAAAAGCCAAAAGAGGTAAGATTTTATTTATTTATTTATTTGGGGGTATTTCTAACCCATCCAATCACTACACATCTCTGGATGGCTTACAGCAATAAGATGTTTGGTAATGTTGCAAAAAAGGTGTTGAAATTTAAGATTCAGTGGCCTTTTTTGAGTTTCTATCTGGCTTCTATGTATTAATAAAAATAGTAATGGAGCAGCTGTAATCTCTAACTGTAAAGTTCACCCATTTTTTTCAGGTGCGCTTGGTGATTGCTGAAAAGGGACTGAAATGTGAAGAGCATGATGTCAGTCTTCCACTGAGTGAACACAATGAGCCTTGGTTTATGCGTCTGAATGCAACTGGAGAAGTCCCTGTGCTCATTCATAGAGAAAATATAATATGTGATGCAACTCAGATTATTGACTACCTTGAAGAGACTTTTACAAATGGTAACAGAAATGTTTGTGTGACCTTTTAAAAATTAATGCAAATGTGTGTGAATTATATTTTACTCTGGGGTTTCTTTCTTTCTTTTTTACATGTTCCTGTAACGGTCTATATCTCATGATTTGAGCAGGTAGTCAGAATGGACAGGTAATTATGAGTTGGGTCCTTCTAGTTTTGAGAAAAATAGCTGCTTGGAAAATGGTTGCAGGGTGGGTTTGGGACAAATATGGCTGCAGATAGCCATGTAATGCCATCTTTTGAGCCTTCTCTCTTCGAAAGAACATAGGCATCTGCCTCCTGCTGGACCACAACATTTGTCCATCAGACCCAGTATTGGCTATTGGCAATGGCCAGGTTTTCATGATAATAAGGACAAAAAGCCACAGTGTCTCTTTAGCCCACCCCCTGCATGACAATTGCATGCTGCATGAATTGTCTAACTACCCTTTTAGCACTTGAAATCCACTGTTCCCTGAACCAAGGGAGTTACATGGTTGAGGTGGCTTAAAAACTTCCATGAAACCTCCGAAGGATTCTGGGGTGGTTCTTTCACCCATGAACATGGTCAGTGACTCTTTAAGTACTCAGGCAGGGCCTTAGACAGGCCCATCACTTGCAACCTGATAGTCTTAAATAGAAACAGGAAGGATTGAATTTGGGGCCTTTTGCATGCAAAGCAGGTGTCCTTCTTGTTGTAATCCCTACGGCTACTTGTCAAGCTGAAGTTGGCAGCTGCGGCTTCTCCTATTAATGTGTTGGTATGATAAGGAATCACAGTCTGATTGACTTACATCATTTTGTAAAATTTTGTTTGAATGGTCATCTATGCATGTTTTTCTACCCAGAAAAAACACCACGGCTAATGCCAGAAGAAGGAAGCATGTACTATCCAAGGGTTCAACATTACAGGGAGCTCTTGGATTCCTTGCCTATGGATGCTTACACACATGGCTGCATTTTACATCCTGAATTAGCAGTAGATTCTATGATTCCAGCTTATGCCACAACAAGAATTCGAAGTATGTATCATGAATGTATTAACATATAGATATGCAAATACATATCAGAGTACGGATTTTCATATTTCAAGTAGACGATGCCTTGGGTCCTACATGTCATTTTGCAGTCATAATTTGTGTCAGGGCACTTCACATGCTTTATTGCAACAATATCTAGGCTATTTTTCTTGGTGAATATTTGTCTTCATGTTATTCCCGCAGATTTGTACAGTTTGAAGGATGTCAAATATAATTGCTGCTTTTTAGGGTTGTTTCTGTGATCACCATTTTTGGGAAATATGCTTATGTATCTATAGAGGCCTTGGGTATTAGAGTCAAAGCCTTTATGAGTTTGATCCTCAGACAGATATTACATAAATGCAAAACCGATTAACAAACTTCAAAAGGTATCACAGAAGCAATTCTAAAGGTCCCCTATGAAAATGAAATTCTTCAAAAGAAAAGGCCCTTTATTTTTGTTTCTTATTATAAGATCTATTAAAATTGCACCACATTTTTCATTTGCTTTTCAAACAAAGAAGTTATACTAGATATGGGGGAATATTTCTACATTAATGTCTGTGGTGTTTGTGGGTAAGATATTGGAATGGGCAAATGGCAAGGTTGGTAGGTGAATAAGAAATTCCTAGGCCATGTGCTTTAGGATATCTACACTGAAGTATTACCTAGATATTTTGATGAAATGTAATAGTTGATTGAACTCATTAGTGAGCCTATTTTAGTGAGATTATTATGAGTGTTCATTTTTTTAATTTATAGTATTTGTATACCACTACATATCTAGGCAGCTTCCAGCACAGTGAACAGTAAAATACTAAAATAGGTTTAAGTGAACTTGCTGTTGTCTGTTTAGGCCAAATAGGTAACACCGAGTCTGAATTAAAGAAACTTGCTGAAGAAAACCCAGATCTGCAGGATGCATATATAGCAAAACAGAAACGTCTCAAAGTAAGTATACAATACAACTGAAAAGGCTGCTGTAGTATTCTAGGTTTGCCTGGGATGTTATATTACTATGGGATACCACTTGTCAGTACAGGCATTTAGTTTCAGGACAATTCCACCTTAAGGGGAGTTGTCTGCAGCCACACTGCTATTTTCTACACCTGCTGCATGACTGTTTCTACGCGCACTGATGCAAGGGTTGTATGCATGATTCCTCAGAAGCAAGTCCCACCTTGTACAGCAAAGCTTACTCCGGAGATAGTGTACAAAGAATTGCAGCCTAAATATATACCTATTTATTTCTTTAGTCTAAACTGATGGATCATGATAATGTAAAATACTTGAAGAAAATACTGGATGAACTGGAAAAAGTTTTGGATCAGGTTGAGACTGAGTTACAAAGGAGAAATGAAGAAACACCAGGTGGGCAATCCTTCATATTCAGTTCACAGTCTGTCATAGTTTTCTTGATTTGGCAGTGGTGATCAATGCAATGAGTGTTGCCAATGAATGGATTACCCTGTGGTCACCCTTGAAAAACATTCTCTTGTTCCTTCTTTAATGAGGAGAGGTCGCAGAGATTCTCTTTCTTAGCAGGGAAGCATTACTGGCCTATTAGTTTACAGGCTACACACAACTTGGACCATGGTCAGGACAGTGGCACTGTACCCATGTGCCACAGGTAGTAGTTTGGTCAGTGTTTACGGGATGAGCTGGATCTTTTATCTGATCCAGCATGGCTTTTAATAGGTTTTTAAGTCCTATATGGCTTTATAACAGCAAATCTTCAAAGAACAGAACATGTTCAATAGAAGTGATAGCCTGGTTCATATGCCACTGATTGTGAAGCTCCCACTATACCCTGAAAGCAGTTCCTATACTGCCAGTATGGAAGTGAAACAATACAGATGTGCCCACCAGCACAAAAACAAGTACTTGCTCGCTTTATGTTGGGAGTGAGAAAAATGGCTGCTTTGGGTGCACGATCATGCAAATCTCAATGCTGGGTTTGGACAATCAGTAAAACCATGGCGGAATATGGAAACCATAGAATATAACATTGTTTCTTAGTGTATTTCATATCATATGAACCCTCCGTATAGTGGTTGCTTTGCAGGATCCTGGAAAACAGCATTTTGAGTTCAGAGAACATGATAAGCCATGGTGGTATGGAGAAATCATAGAACAAACTGTTGTTTCTTCTTGTGGTTTCTAAAAAGCATACTTACAATGGTGAATTACCATGACTGGGTTTGGACAACACAAAAGAACAACAATGGTAAAAAACCAGCATGGCTTGTTGTGTTGTCTGTACCCAGCCATTCTCTTTCTCCTAGTAGTATTGGATATGGGCCACTTTGGAGAATTGGCTAAGCCAAGGGCTTGAGTTTTATCCTTCTTGTTTAAAATCTGCATGCTGTTATCTCTGCTATTTATAGATTTAACAAAAATAAAGGAGACTTTTCCCATACACTAGTTCATGTGTCTTTGAATAATAGTCAGATTTTAGTTTTTCTACCCTGAAATATGCCAACTGTGCTTGTATTGTAGACCTGTAATGCCATTATACAGAAAAGGCTGGTAGTAGATCAGACATTTATTTCTTAGATACTATTTAGACTTAGGTTGATTACTCAAATTCATAACCAGAGCTTTTACTCTTATGCTAATAACCATGAGATCTATCTTAAGAAAAGTCTGGTTCTTTATTTTCATTATTTCCCAGGTTGTCACAGTTTACACACTGCATTTATATGGTTCAGTCAGCAGCACCACTACTTAAAGGCTCTTGGAAAGCAGGGATGGATAATGTCTCTGCCTGAACTCCACCTAACACTCAGTGAACCTCTATTTAACTTGGCATAAAGCTACTTTTGGTATTCTTATCATGAAAATACGAGTTCCCAAAGTGTTTTTGTACTAGATTTCTCTGCATGCCCTGACTTTCATGTGGATGTGAAATTATCAGTAACATGTACCATATGTACCAACAAACAGTAGAACTGGAAGGAACCCGGAAGACTTTTATACCAACTGTCCCAGGGAAAGTTCAGCTATAAACAGCTATGCTATTCAGATTAGTCTATCAGAGCAGATTATAGTCTGGTAAAAATAAAAAGCAGTAGGAAACAAAATGCATAGCAGCAGAAGGCGACATGCAGCTCATGAGCCACACAGGGCCTCTGGAGGCTGCCCGTGAGGCCTGCTAAAGGTGCTCTGCCCCTCAGGATTGCCCCTTCCACTGCCTACACATGCAGCCAGCCCCACTATGTAGAATGCCATTTCAAGGTACCGGGATTGTAACAGTAGATCTGGCTATTATGTATGTATCAGCTTCATTTTCACTGGGAAATTGATTCAAGAATTATTTACTACTCAGGAGAAAATGCAAAATTTAAGGAGCTTGTTCAGTCCTTTGCAGCCTACTTTGAACTACCTTTCAGAGTCAACCTTTGACAAAAGTTGCAAGTTCCCATTCAGCAGTGGGAAATAAGACAAAATAGGTCTCTAATTGGAGGGGGTGATGCTTTTCAGGCATCTTGTTTGCCACACTTTTGCCAGGAAAAATCTTTGGTTAATAATTACTTGAATACAGTATACAAATAGTTGCAGATTACTGGGGCCTTTTGCATCCTATTGCATTTTGTTAGTGTATAACCATGTCCTTATTTTCCTAGAAAATGGGCACCAACCTTGGCTCTGTGGTGAGTTTTTCAGCTTGGCTGATGTATCCCTTGCTGTTACATTGCATCGTTTGAAGTTCATTGGACTGGCAAGGAGAAACTGGGGGAATGGAAAACGGCCTAACTTGGAAGCCTACTATGAACGTGTCTTGAAAAGGAAAGCATTTCACAAGGTTTTAGGACATGTGAACAACATATTAATCTCAGCAGTTCTTCCAACTGCATTTCGAGTGGCCAAGAAGAGAGCACCCAGGGTCCTTGGCACTACTCTTCTGGTTGGCTTCTTAGCAGGAGCAGGGTATCTTGCTTTTGTTTGTCTTAGGAAAAGATTTCCCAACATGCTATTGTTGATTAGAGCAAAGCAAAGTTATCAATAGACATTTCTTTGTCAGATTGTATGAACAAGCCAATGAATACCTCAAAGAAGTGATTTGAGGAATATTGGACTGAAACATTGTCACATGTTGTTTATTACTTTCCTGTAGTTACAAAATATATTGAAAATTAAATGAAAATTAAATCCTGACAAAAAACGAGACAGTGGCTTGGATCTGAGCACTAGGAGTAGAAGAAGGCTAGGTAGTTAACTGATCCCCCTGACCTTTGCAGTTTCTTTGGCTCATTGAAAAGTCAATCTGGAGGGTTAGAGGAACAGTATTAGATATGGTACTCAGGACTGATGGGTGAAGATAGAATTATCTGATATTGGGCAGTTGGTGCTTGCCCGAATGTAGTTTGGTTCATGCAAGGTGCCCCTGTGTAGTTTGGCAAACTCATTCTCTCCTGGTAGCTAAAGAAGAGGAGTGTGGGGCGGGGGGTTGAAGGGACCTGATGATTTCTGAGGCTTCTTTTTGTTCCTGGTACTCAACCTCCAAGCGAATATAATGTCTCTATTAAACTGCAGGTCTTATGGGAATACATAGTTAGAAAGAATGATTGTTCTCTTATTTTTAACCAGAGCCATTCTTAATATGTTATATTAATGAGATTAATTTGACAATTGCATGTTTCTCATAGTTCAGAATGGCTAGTCCTTGACTAATTCCGCACTTTGAATATATTATGTAACTGGGATGGGCATGCCACATGGGACAGAGAGAGTCTTATAAAAATGGATAAATGTCATCCTGGTACATCAATTGTTTGTTACACTGTAACTGAATTCAAATGCATTTTCCTAAAAGGCCAGTTAGTTAAATATAGGTTGACACTGCAGCACATGTTTAAATCACATAAGGGAAATACATGAAAACCATTATTTGGTACATAGTTGGCAGGTTTCCAGGGCACAAATAGCAGTTAAGAATTGTCTCTCTGTTGATTTCCCATGCATAGGAAATGTAGTAATGTACTGTCAGTTCATTCAGAAGCAATGTGCACTCTGCAGCAGATGTTCTGCATATAAATTATAGGTGTATAATTCTTTTTAATGTAATCATATCTTCTTGCCTGTGTATGAATGTAGCCTGTGACGTGCCTCAGAGAGTGTCTTCTCCAAAAATATAAAATATTCAAGAAAAAAAATTGTAAATTCAATTGTGCCTGTGAACCTCTCCTCTCCTCTCCTTGCAATTAAAATCAGTATATTAAGCAGCTGCCTGTCTATTGAGTACACATTCAAAATGGAGCAGCTGTCTTAATAGCATGGGCTTGGAGGATCACTTGACCAGGGAGGAGGAGGAGGAGCTCCAGAAGGAGCCACCTATACCACACTTACCTTTCTCCCAGAGGATTGATGAAGGATTTATATTTTCTTTGTTGGCCAGGAAACTTTCACTCATAGTTAATAACCTTAAGTTTCTGGTACATGAAACAATGCTCACTGGATATTGTGATCTGTAACCAGTTGTGTCTTCTGGCTTATGCTAGCATCACTTTACTCCCTTGCAGTCTGTATTGTTATTTCAATACAATGCAGTACTTCAACGGAAAATTTTTGGGGAAGTTACAGTCCTGACTTGCACACATGGATTTTCAGCTGAGATTCCTGCTTGCATGGAATCATAGAATAATAGAGCTGGAAAGAGCTAGAAAGCCATTGGGTCCAACCCCCTGCCCTGCAGGACTCCAAGTTAAACCGTTCATTTCAAATGGCTGTCCAGTTGCATCTGGAATGCCTCTAGTGTGGAGGAGCCTGCAACTTCCCTAGGTTATTGGTCATACAGCTCTAACAGGAAGTTCTTTCTGAAGTTCAACTGGAACCTGGCTTCCTATAACTGGAGCCTGTTATTCTGTATCCTGCACTCTGCAATGAAGGAGAAGAGATCCTGGTCCTACTGTTTGTGACAACCTTTCAAATACTTGAAGAGTGCTATCATATCTCCCCTCAGTCTTCTCTTCTTGAAGCTAAACGTGTGCAAACATGCCCAGTTCTTTCATAGGGTTTTGTTTCCAGTCCCTGGATCATCCTTGTTGCCCTCCTCCAAGCCTTTCCAGCATATCTGCATCTTTCTTAAACTGTGGTGCCCAGAACTGAATACAGTATTCCAGATGTAGCCTCACCAGTATGAGTAAAGGAAAACTAGTATTTCATGTGATTTGGAAGTGACACTTCTATTAATGCAGAATAAAATAGCATTTGTCCTTTCTGCAGTCACATCACATGGTTAACTCATATTCAGTTTGGGATCTACAACAATTCCAAGATCCTCGTCACTTGTTATTGTTGAACCAAGTATTCCTCATCTTGTAACAGTGTATTTGGTTTATTTTGCGTAGGTGCAGAATTCGGCATTTGTCTCTATTGAATTTCATTCATTCATCATGGATTCTTGGTCTTGACTGAGTCTCCAGTCTCACTTCCAACAGCTGTAAAGGAGGGATGGGTAACCTTTTCCATGAAAGGGATGGGTAACCTTTTCCATGACCACTCATGGGCAGAGCCAGATCATATGATGCAGTGAGCCAGAGCAAAATATTTTGGGCAGTATTTGTAGCATTACCACTCTTTCTCTTACTGTGCCACCCCATCTCTTCTGTTTCCATCACTTTTCCATGTACATACAAAGTGGATAACAAACCAATAATCAGTTCTAAGCATTCTGGCCATGCTGATGACTTCTTTCACTGTACAACATCACACAAAATTCCTGATATTCACCAGATAAAGCAGAATGATCCTAGATGTGCCGTCTCAGAGACAACTGGAGTTGACACTTTAGCAGTAGTTTGTCCTAAGGTAGTTTACAGCCTACATGCAACTCAGAAGAAAACAACACTTGAATTCAGTGGAAATAAGCCCCAAGTCACTGTGTAACTTTAGCCAAATAACAACTGTATGAGTTAGTTTAGACAGGGAGATGGTATTATCCAAGGGCACTTCTGAATTTTATAAGTCATCAGGGAACTTCTCACATCCAAGGCCAGAACTTTAGCCAATACATAAATGTTTTTAAAAGCAGTTAGCTCTCTTTCTCTAGATACTCAATTTTGGAGTGACCAAGGGCATCCTAGGTGAAAGCCTAGAAGCTTCAGTTGGAAAGAGCTATGTTTGGGTACATTTAGAATTCTTAGGAATTCTCAGAATTCTTAGGATCTGCTCTTAGGTATGTTTGATCTTTTGACTGCAATCCTATTCACATTTACTTAGGCATAAGAGCCTCTTAGTAAACATGCATAGGATTATAATAGTTTATAATAGTTGCATCATGAGGAAAAGAAGATCAGACACTGGTTTCTTTTCTGTGTACTGCACTTTATAATAAAACAAGGAATCCTACCTGGGCTTGTTTTTGTCACATGTTATAGCAACAGTTAACAACTTGGAAATCTCTCAGTTATTTTGTACCAAAACTCTGATATTCTTTGGTCATTGTCTTTCTGGCTGGCACTGATGGGAGTGACTTGAGATTGCTCACTCTCTGTCATACAGAATCTTTCCATCCTAGATATGGGAACAGGGAATTTTCAGGATTGCCACAAAGAAGCATCTTGCCTGTGTTGTGAAGGGGGCGGGGGCACAGGTCTCACAGATTCATCATCCTTTATCAGCTGTACACTTGCATAAAAATTGAGCCTGGGGTTACACAGAAATGGGATCAGCAAGCAAGGGCTTGGGAAAGGCAGGGCATTTTGTTCTCTTCCTTTTGCTTACCCAGCTGGAATGACTCAGATGTCCCCTCACAAGTTAATCACACAGCTGAAAGAAATGATTGAAACAAGTTGGCAATGCTGCACGCATCCCCCAGGGGACAGTTTTTCATGTTCTTTCCCTAGCAAGGCCCTGTCTTCCATTTGAGAAGCACTGCCCTACATCACACTGGCTTTAAAGTCATCATGAGAAACATGCATGAAGAATCTATGTGTCTCTGTTATATATGAGGGATAGGGAAGTTTTGTGTTTCCAGTTGAAGAGCTGTATTTCAGGCTGTCATATCAGGTCCCTATTATAGCAATAACTGGCATGCAATTTACACTGTGATGCTTGAAAATGGATCAAAAGGAACATAATAATAATTACTTGAAACAGAGCACAGCACATGTCTGTATCAAATGAGGCAATTTATATTGCCCTTCCCCTGAGCGCTTCTTCAATCCTCAAAGCATCATTCCAAACACACTAATGGGAAATGATTCCCATTGGTTTGGATGGGAGAACATTCCAGATGAAACTAAATGGCAATACAAAAGTCTTGCTTAGGTAAATCATTTTTGCTTAAAAACTAAGCAGGATTGGCATGCTAACTTCTTAAATGTTTAAACCCATTCATATGATTTCAAAGGTTTGGAGTGCCCAAATTTCATGGTCTGAGCACACATGCTGAAGCTAAGTAGGTCAAAGTCTGGATGGGGGACCACCTGGGAAATGATTGTGTGCAATACTGAATCCATGGTGGAAGAAAGGTAAGATATAAGACTACTGAATAAATGAACCGAACCTACCACCTCTCTATCAGTTGCTGTGGGAGGCTCTCTCAAGTTGCTGGGCATAATCAATGACATATTCTGCCAATTGAAAATAACTGTCAAAGCTGTCATGGCAATTCAATAGCTGAAATTACTAGTTATTATTTAATAATACTAATGATTTAACAAAATGTCATTCTTATTCTTTGTCCAGTCTCACTAATTGGAAACATTCTCCTCTCTTTTAACTCAAAGAACAATGCATTTTCTGTTTTTGGAGGTGGTAAAAAACAGATGAATATAATTTAACTTCATGACCCAGTTATTTTGGCAATACTGATGAATTGGATATGCTCTGTTTACAGAAACTTAGTTTAATTTACCCAAACAACACTGATTATATGCTGGCATCTTCTTCATCCTCCAGTACGAAACAGCTTTACTTGGAAGTAAGCCTAATTATTTTCAATGAGCTTACTTCTGGGTAAAACTGGCTAGGACTGGAATCTTGCTTATGCATTTTTTTTGCTAA